AATGAATGAATGAGTAACTTAGCAAATTGCATGCTTCTTAAGACTGATGACTTTGAAAGTACCTACCGCATCTGCTAGCGAAATATTTCATATATATATATATATATAATAGTGCTTCGCATAGTTCCGTCTGTCACCTAATGTGCTGAATGTCAACCCTTACTTGCCCATGTTTGGGATTCAACGCTAGTAGTTGACGAACTAATGTGATTTGGACCGACCCTGCAGATGGTTCAACTTCGCCAGTATTTTCATCAGTATTCCTTTAAGATCATCTGACACCAAAACACGGTCGTTTCTCGTGCAACCGTACCTAATGATCTTCAGCATATGTCATAACAACGGTCTTGGTTGCTGCTTCCACATATTCCATACTTGATCATGAAAAGATAGCCGTTTCCAGCCCATGAAGCGAAATCAACCTGACAGCGGCGCAACAACGGTGAATCTCGGTTGTTACCATTATTTCCTTGCCAATGCAAATTTTCGAGAAATTTTTGACAGTTTAAATGTTAGCATATTCCATTTTATTAATGTTCCAATATTTTGGAATAATACAGATGACCATGCACGCTGTTTACAATGCCTTAACAAACAGTTTAAAAAACAAAATTTTCCTAGAGAAGATTTGGCATGAAAGTGTACAGAAATCCGGCATGCCATGGTTAAAATATTTGCTTCATTCCTTCACATTTTTATTTGTTGTTTTGTTAGCATCTGAAAAAGGGCTCTCAACTAGTAGAGCAGCCAGTAAATTGAAAAAAAGACTTTCCAAACAGCATTTTCGTAATGGATTCTGTCACTCAGAAATGTTTCAGTCAAATCTATGGAGTCAGTCCTGAATCGTTACCGTTCTCGACCGACAGCAACCGACAATAAGGTGACCCATGGTCTAAACGATGTAGGAGTCGTACGGTATGATGGCGTTGCGGGCTATCGCAGCGCTCATCAATGCGACGCATGGTGATTGGCAGCAGCTCGATAGAGGCCCGCCTTTTACGATGTTAACGTTCAGTTTGTTCACTTAACGGATGAAGTGCTACCGGCAGGTGTTTACATGGGCAAATGTTACTCGTGGTGTCTGGTCAGAGTCGCTGATATTACTCTGATGTACTGCTGAACGATAAGGTATCAGTTAAATACGATTAGTATGTGTTGTCGTGCCTGAATAGCAGATTCGATCGAACTCTGAGTGCCCTGATGTTGTTACAGCAAGCAGACAATCTGTAGAAGGTCGATGCTTCGAAGTCGGAAAGCGAGCGCCAGTGCAAGTGAGCCCTCTTGCAGAGCAGATGAGGTCGGAGTCAATTGGCGAGGCAACAACTACGGTCAACGATGACCGTCGGCCATCACCGCAACGGATCAGAAGGTAGCGCGACGGTGGCTATCATGGGCAATGCGTCGAGCAGCAGCGACAGTCGGTCGTGTACCGAACCTGAAGATCTGCTGCCGCTGGAACACCCTCTGTTCCTTTACGTCTACCCAATCATCCTGTCGATCTGCGTTTGCGCCAACACCGCCAACCCTCTGGTCTATCAACACAAGTTCCTGCGTGCATCACCCACCATTCGCCTGTTGGCTACTAAGGCCATTGCCAACACTCTGTGCATCATCAGCCTGATCACCCGGTTCATGCACTCCTTGCCGCAGGAGGCCCAGACGCGTGCGGCGGTCGCCTTTTACTGGAAATCGCTGCCCTTCACGCTATTCGCCATCAATCTCTTCGGCACCATTGCCATCAGGTAAGTCCATGGTTCACTTGGCCCAATCGTCTCTTCTGTTTCACTCATTTAAACTTTGGCTGAACACTAGCTTCATGACCGGAGTTGTGCCTCGTTGCTTGCATAGCAACTGACCAACACGGCGTTCTTTGAAGTATAATTTTATTGATTGACGCTATATACTCGTTTCCATTTCATAACCGAGGGGCATGCGCATCGTCGATCTCTATCTGTGCTCCATACCGATTGATTCAGCACTCAACCAAATACCTTATCGTAGTAATCAGTCAAACAATTCATCGTAAAAACGCACGTGTCAGCTTGAATCAAGCTGCAATTGTTGAGTTTCTCAGCACACAACGGTTCTTAATTAAGGATTTCTTTTCACGAAGCAGTGGCTCATCATAGAAGAAAGTAAGGGCTTTTGCAACCGGTTATTTTCCTTTCAGACTGATGGACTACCACTGAGTGGAACGGCTAGTAATTAGCGACAAGGTGGAAGCAATGTTTTCCAACCCTCAAAATCTATCTCCCGCTTTCGTTTTGATTCATTATAATCCCGCGCTTCGAGCATTCAACTAGTCCTCTAATATTTTCGATTGATGGACTTTCAGACATTCAGCGCTAAAGTGAAGTTACCTGAGCTGCACAAAAATATATCAATAAACAGCTATGCAAAGTGCAAAGCGTAGCATTAAAAGTTTCATAATATTATATTCATTAAACGTGTGAGAAAGTGCGCTAAAGCTAGCATAACATTCTTTGCCTAGGCTAAGCATCGATGCGCAGAAATCTGGCAGATGATTATATGGCTAAGGCAGAAACTTATGCCCCAAAGCAACCTAATTCAGAAAGGCCAATTATGCCTTAAGTATATTCTCCAGAAACTTATGATGACCTTCGATGATAATCTGAAGGTTGAATTGGTCAATTTTGTCAAACTGGTGAAAGAATGTGAAAAGAAGCTAGAAACGGGGTGATTAAAACGCATTTCGGCAGCAGCAAAGGAGTTGCCTCGAAAAAGCTGAAAACAGCTGAAAACAACTTCTATGAATCTGATGGAGTACAACTTCATATGTGAAACGGCGCGACCGAAAAGGAAAGAAGGTCGCTAACGTTATAATGGAGAACGACTGCAGCAGACGGTCAAAGACAAAGGAAGTGCAGAACGCTGTCAACGAGAAACTCGCTGTCTTTATGCCAATTTATTAACGGCATTAAAAATGACTTTAGAGAAAGAGAGCTGCAGATCACAAGGAGATTGAAAGTGTGCCAACATGGAATATTTCTACAACAACCTTTTCAGATCAAACGCTTTCTTTATTTCAGTTGCACTTCATAAAATATAGCATGAGTGACATGAATATTAGTTCAGCTGGAACCCTTTGTCAAAGGTTAGGAAGCTACCCTACTCGTCATATCACTCTGGCTGTTCCCGGCAGGGTCGACTTCTATACTTCATCAACCTTGATCGTGTTATCACCTGCATTTATTACGCGTTGATAGTCTCTCTGCAGTGCTCCAAGGGCTGCTTTTATTCACCAAATCTTTCACATTTTCATCTTTAATTTTCGATATTTCAGTATCTTTCCTCTCCCACTGACAATAAAATTGCCGTCAGTGCTGCATGCTATATCAATGACTTATTCCCGCTTATGCTTTTTCCACCACCATGGCATTCGGACGATGAGCCAAATTTTCTTTCCCTGTTCGTAGTGCAAAGTTCCAGAATGTTTTCACTTGCTCAGCTTCCGCTTCTTTCAACTGATGTTTCCACCATTGCTTTGTCATTGACAAGTCGGCTCGCTTACGCAAATGCCAGTTGACTATCCTCATAAATTATGGTGTCTGTCCCTGTATTTGCTAGCGTTTCGCAGCTGGACATTATAATGGTCATGGTCTCATTCCTCACTTGACACTTTCCGTTCGTTGCATCTGGCTGCGTGTGCAGTACCTTCGCTTTATGAATTCCTGTTTGTGATCTTCTGTGGGTATTAATAACACATCCGTTTCGCTTTTCGATCTCCAGGTGACACTCTGGCGGATGTTTCTGTCTTCCAAGACTTCGTAAAGGTACTGTCCACGAAGTTGTTCATTCTTCCAGCCATTATATCGAGGTGCCTCCACACTTTTCTGATGATTGCTTGCATTTCCTAGTTCTAGTTTATTTGCATAGGTACTTAACATTCACAACCGTCGTTGATTGCCATAGCCAGATAGTTTCTTATGAATCACATATCAGATATCGACGTATCTTAGATACTACTAACCCTTCTTCTTACTTGCATATGCGGAACATATAGTCTGTTCGTATCTGCATTTCATTGTACCATCCCGTGCATGTTCACGATCTTTCTTATTTTGCTACCCTTTTCTAGCGTTTCCGCTGCCGCCTATTGGACGATACCTTTTGATTAAAGAAACAGTGGTTAATGGCCAAAATTTTTTTCTTTCTCCCCAACTTGCACGTCAAGGTTTAGCGGATTCTCTTCTTGCTTCCGTTCTTATTGATAATTTCATTTTTCATGTAGCATCCTGTCAAGCTCTAGTACGCGGCGGCTTTTGTGCAATTGCCCTTTAATCTCAACCGTAGCGTCTTTATGCCAACCAAATTCCATTCTGATATCTTCGCGTCTTTTGAATCAAATCATCCAACTTTTTTACCGATCTTGCATACAACTTTCAGACATCCATAAAGAGCAGGAACGATATTACACTACCGCCTTTTAAGTTATAACTTTTCCCTGTTTATCCAATATGTTAATGAGCAGATCCAATGCCAGACATAATAGAAGCGGCAGAATTAAATCTCTCTGAAAGATCCTTCGACTGATCATCACCGATTCTATCGAAATATTTTACATTGCAGTCTTATTCACAGCTGTTGCAGCGTTTTGGGTATTCCAGAACCAGGCAATGTAATCTCAGGTCGAATGCCTTACTAAAGTCGATCCAGGCCATAACCGTGTTGGCATTTCTCATTTTGTAACCTAAACATGAGCAACTGTCTTTGGGTCCGTTTGATTTCGTCCGGCACTCTTTTCATTCAGCTAATATGATGTTGCTCGCCTCGAGATGGACATAAGTTGCACTGGCTAACATAGACGTAACGAGTTTCCACGTCATCCTGCAGTTAATCACATCGCCATAACACGTGTCCTTCAACTGTAGATGCGTCAGTCGTTCCGTTATCCAAGACGGTTGTCGTTTTTCTAGCACTCTCTGCAAGAATACTGCTATTCTTGAGTACAAGCACGTTGGCCGTTTAAACCAGAGCACTTGATCGGCACTGGCGCTTTCTTCTTCATCACTTTCAGTGATTGTGACGGTAATTCCTTTAAACGGTTAACCTCTATTTGCTGACTTTGGAAAAGTCTCATGCCCTTCTTAGAAACAGAAGCAGTTATTCTGCCTTAAGACAAACGATCTCCTTGTTACCTGCGAGTTTATCCTTTGCCTCCAGTTACCTATAGAAGACTATAGCATCTTGAACGATGGTCTTACTATGCTTGTGCTGCTCAAAACTCTTCTGCCAAGTCTCCTGGTTTCCCGATGCAACAAACGGTTTCAGCTGACTGTTCTTACATGCACTACAACCGTTTCTCATGTTGCAGTCCTGTATTTTCTCTAATTTCTTTATGTTGCGCATGTTATGTTGTTGTAGTTGGTGTACTTGCATCTCTTGTTCTTGTCTGTTCTTTGCTCTTCTTAGCCGTACTGGCTTTTCCTTCTACTCTGATCTGTATCCTGCTCGATGCACAGTTTCTTTGTCATCGCAAAATGTGGCATGTATCACGCCATTGATGGATTAAAAACTTATTCGTTTGTATCGTATTGAAGACATTTTAAGCCTGTCTCATATATACACGCAGCTCGGTGACTTTAGACACATGCAACTATACAGATTGTAAATTATTTATTAGAACTTCTGACGTTTCAGCGAAACAACATTGCCTGTACTCAGGGCAAACAATGACGATGGAGAGTGTTGTTTGACGTAAACGTCGGCAATTCCAGTAAAATATTTATCATCTGTACTTTAGTTTGTGTTTATAACCGCTGAATCATCATCATCATCTTCCGTCGCCGCTTCTCCTTTCGGGTCGCGGAGGCAGACGCGTCAGACAGTGCTT